GCCAGGAAATCACAGAATGATAGCATTATAGATTGACTGGGACTGGAAGGCAGCTTGAAAGGTCATCTAGTCCAACGCCGTTGCCATGGGCAGGGACATCTTCCAGTACACCAGGCTGTTCAAAGTCCTGTTCAACCTGACCTTGAACCCTTCCAGTGAGGGGGCATCCACCACTGCTCTGGGCAACTTGTTCCAGTGCCTCACCCCACTCATCATGAAAAAAAAGTTCATCATCATGTACAGTCTAAATCTGCCCTCTTTCAGCTTAAAACCATTGCCCCTTGTCAGGTCCTGGTAGGAAGTCTCCCTCCATATTTCTCATAAGTTCACTTTAATTATTAAAAAGCTGCAACTAGGTCTCCCTGGACCCTTATCTTCTCCAGGCCAAACAGCCCCAACTCTTTCAGCCTGTCTTCACAGGAGATGTGCCCCAATCCTCTGAGCATCTTTGTGGCCTCCCCTTAACCCAAACTGAGTCCCCTTCATGCAAGAAGAGGGTGGATGCAGCTTTTAGCATGGGGAAAAGTCCTAGTTTAGGAAAGCTCACATAATGCCAGGACTAGGGTCCAGATCTACCTCTAATATAATTTCTGATGAGCTGTTGCTGCAGGTCATGTGTGGTTAATGTGCACGTGGCTGAGCTGGCACCAGCAGGGATGTCTGGGAGAGGCTCCTTGTGCAGCATTGGAAAGGTGAGAGGATGAGTTCAGAACAGTCAAAGCCATCAGCCAAATCTCCTCAACCCCCCTTCTGTTTAAGACATTTCCCCTTAATCTTCTTTACCTTCACTCCCCAAATACATCTATACTGCTTCTGCGAAGTTTCATGGGGATAATCCAGTTACATGAATTCCCTTGACATGTGATATATTTTACCACAGCCCTGGTACCTTTCATGGACCAGTTCAGGACATTTTTATTTTTCAGCTCTGTTTATTAGAAGAAATATTCAGTTTCAGCTGAAGCACTGGGTTACCATCTTTGTAGAGCAACTGGACCTTGAGTTTGTACCCAACACAGGCATTGTGGCTCTTCCCTGACCCCTGGCTCTGGCCCATCTTTCCATTCCCTCTCCACTGAGTGTGCCTGACACCTCTTGTGTACCATGGGGTCAGAATCCCTGAGGCAGTCTGTAGGTTTTTCTGTAGTGCAGAATAGCTCTTCTGTCCTTAACGCTACGCCAAACACAGAGCAGGGCAGGTAAACTTGGCACTGAAGGGTGAATTTATTTAACTTCTGACAACTTCAGGCACCTCAGAACTGGCCAGTGCATCAGTCTCCTCTTCAGTGAATGTGTCCAGAAGCCCGAGGAGGCATAGCTGCACAGATATGAAATGATTGTGCAGCAGGGAGCTCACGGGCATTGTGCCCCACGCTGAAGGCAGCCTGCTGGGTGATGCTGCACTGCTCTGCAGGGCCATCCCCCTGCTCTGTCCCCACCATCTTAACAGAAAGATGTCTTTGCCTTTGGCCTGGCCTGTGTCAATTGTTCAGATTCAAAACCTGGCTGCAGTGGCTGGGGTAGTGCTTATTTGCTCCTTAAATTAGAGAGCTCCAGGAGAGGAGATCCTTGGTGAAGGGAGGACCTTGGTTAGGAAGGACTGCTGAGTGAAGAACTGTATTTAAACTGTCTCAGTATCGGCTAAACTGCTAAGAATTCTGTTAAGTTACTGACAGAGTCATTCTTCACAGCTGTCAGCCCTTATCCGTTCACTGGAAGGATCATTAATACGGCTAAAATGGAGCATCTGTCACTCCTGTGCTAACAGGCAGCATACTTCCCACAAATTCTATTTAAAAGAAGTTGTGTCCAGATTATTTAGTGTTTGCTTCAGAGAATGGTAAAACTTTACTACAATTAGACTTCTGTCACTGTTACAAGCTCTTTCAAAAAGTTCTGTACCATACATTTGTATAGATAAAGTGACATGCATTTTCATGCTACTGAGTGTCAGGATGGCAAAATAATGAGAGCTAGGAAGATAACTGAGTATCTACCACATTTTAATTGCACAGTTAATTAAAAATAGGTTGGCATAACTCAAAATCTTTTGCTGTTACACTCAAAAACAATGTGAAAATCTGGAGAGAAAAAAAAATCAAGACATGAAGTGCATCTTCAAGGAGATATTTTATAAACATTTGAGTTACATCTAACCTGTTTAGCTGAATAATGCACTCCTCTGAAACTGAATATTGGTGGAAAATAATCTGATGATCATGTAAGCATCCTCTCTAACTACAACTATTTCTTAAAACCCAGTTTACTTTATCAGGTTTTAGCTGATGACTTTCCCAATCCTGCAGGAAGGTTTCTCTAGCCCTCATTACAATGTCACGGTTCATTTCTCAGTCTCACAGGTATTTCAGTTTATTCATTTGTTTGATTGTTTATTTCCTCTTTTTAATTTCTCTTGTAACCTTCAAGGTAAAGACTATTTTTGTTTTGAAATTGCCAGAACCATTTTCATCTTGGAGTCTGCTCCAGCTTCTGACCAAGATTATTACTCGACATCTAGATTTGAATTTTCACGTTATCACACTCTTTGATTTTTGCTAATTGACTCCACATTATATTTGTTTCCTGGACATGTTTTCTGTTTTGGGTGGTAATTTATGAGAATTCCAAGTAGATTACCTCTGCAAAAGTGATGGGTTTTGTATCAAAACATGTTGCTAGCGTTTAGAGAAATGACCATTACCTGGCCCAAAGTCCTGAATCCAGCACTGTGGAAACTGAGCCTGAAATAATTCATCTAGACACTAGAGGTAAAATTGTAAAGCTCAGAGGAAAGTGGCTTAACTCTGGAAATTTATTTTCAGAACTCTTCTTGGCCTTGGGCTGGAATAGATGCAGTCCATAAAAAATGAGTTCCTTTTTATTATCTTCAAGGGATGATTTTAGGGCGTTCTAGCTTGAGGGGACCTATTCCAAAGCATTCTTAAGTGACCATTTAACCACACATGTGCAATGAGAAACTCAAATGGAAGTCACTTCCAGGCTCCTCTTTCTTTTCCCGGCTCTCTGTGGGTGTCCCTCTCTCTAACTTACTTTATGAGAAGAGCAAAAGAAGGGTCCTGACTATGTGAGAAGCAAAGAAAAGGTTATTCCAGGGGTACAGTTTTAATTTTTAAACTATGCCAACTCTGAGCCCCTCTGTTTTGCACCTTTTACAGTCACTTACACAACGAACAGGGGAATGCAAAATGCTTCCCTTAGCTTAGTTCAAGCTCTGATTTCAGCCAAAGTGGTATAAAACCCAAGGCAGTTTGAAGATGGAGTTCAGGCAGCGCTTCAGAAGGCACCAAGCACAGGCAGGTGATATGGGAATTGAAGTGTGTTAACTGGCATTTTCCAAGAAGTCTATACATTTTTTTACTGAAGCCTGATATTAAGTCATGTGCCTACCTGGTAACTATTTAAGCACAGGTTTATTGCAATGATGCTGTTAACCTTCACATTCACAGTTGATGTTACTTTGAAAATTGTTTAAGAAGAAGAATAAACTGAAGAATGTGAGTTTTGTAATTTTTTTTGGATGCTTGGCAAACTCTGCTCTCACATTTGGTGACAGACCTGCTGATGTCTTGATTTTTGAGTAAGCACTCCAAGGTCATGGTTTTTCTTTTCGTGCTTTCATGGATTTCTCAGGCTTTCCAAGTATTATTTACGTGTTTAAATTCCCATAATGAATTTAGGCCTTTGGACACACAAATATGGATAAAGAGATAAAAAATAGCATTTCAAATTTTTGTTTTGATTTAAAAGGAGCAGGTATTCTAAATATTTTAGAACTCCAAATCCTTCCACTTCTTGTGTTGCCCCACTGGTAATTCAAATCTTCTTTACTCTGAAACAATATGAATTACCAGGCAAGTAGTGAAATGGTCTTATAGAAAGGGACTAAAAGGTTGTGCAAGTCAGGAAAGAGTTTTTTAGCAAGCTCAAAACAACTCATTTTGCAGTACATTACCCTAAGCATTCTGGTGACAACAAAGCAGTCACCCTAAAAAGGAAGTGATTTGATTGCACCACCCGACTGAAATGCTTTGATACTGTTGGAGGAAATGCCACATTTCCTAATGAAGCGTTAGGAAGTGAACTAGAAACGTTTTTGACTAATGACAAATGTGGGAGAGGAAAACTGCCACTGTTCTGAAGGTACTGGTTGGTCTTTAAGGAATAAATTCTGGGTCCTAGAGGGGAAAAGTGTTAGAGGAGAAAATGTGCTCATCACTTATGATGAAAGACAGGTTTTAAAGTGCATCAAGCTACACTGTGAAACAGATATTTCAATCTAGACAGGCCATATCAGGTACCAGAAGCAGTCTGAAAACTTCAAGTTATTTTATCTTTGCTGATACAGCGTCTCAAGGTAGCTAGTGTGGGTTAACTAAGTTAATGTGGGTTAATTAACCAGCTCTTGTAGGTGTCTCACAGAGGCTGTTTGTCAGGACATATATTAACAACTTCACAGACTTTTAAAATGGCAGCTAGAATCTGTAATTCCCACCAATTTGGGCTCCACTAATGATGTGGGGGTGGTGGCATTGTCTGTGCATGTCCCATCTTCCTTAGTCTGAACAGGGTTTTGCTGTGTTAAAAATTAAAATCTCTGTTATTCATTAAACCATCTAAATTCATTATATTACAGTCAGTCTATACAGAAACCTAATATGTTGAGGAATTGCATTTGCTGAGCAAAACTGTGAAAGTAAACTCTTTTTCCAGCCATCTACATCTCAGTGAACCATAATTTATTAGAGTTAAATACTCCAGAGTACTACCTTTTCCATTTATCAAATGAAGAGATGGATGCATAATCTTAAAAGCAGTAATTGACATTTCACATATGAAACTTCTAACAATGACAGCTAATTAATTATAGCTCATTTAAGCTACAAAGTAAAATTGACTTCAGTTTCGCAGCACACCATCACACTTTCCTACAAAATAATTTTCTCTCCCTCTCCCTGCAGCATGTAATGAGTGTGGGATCTTCAGCTAGATGGGTCTTCAGGTTGGGTCCTCAACATCTTTATCCGTTTTTCCAGCCTCTCCATCCATTCATTTCTGAGCCTAGGGACAGAAACATGCATCAGCTTGTCCCCATATTTGTGCAGGGAACAGATTTATACTCTTCATCTTTACCTCTGGTGATATCTTTCCACTGCTTTTCCCAGTTGTCCTGCAAATTGTCCTGCCCCTGCAGAGTGCTTTGCTGGATGGCACTTCAGGACCAGCCCTCAAACCCCGGTGAGGGCTCACCTGAGCTCTGTGTTTCATCCTCACCTCCCGGTGTGGTGTGGCCCCCTCTCCGTGGCCGGTGTGCCAGAGGGATTTGTCACCCGCCCTGGAGATTGCCTGCCACCTGCTGGGTCACATCACCCAACACTTCCCCGTCCCCTCCTCCTCACTGCTACCTGGCTTGGCTCGCTCATACCCAAACTCCTGTCAGACCCACAGCAGACATCTTCAGGTGACAGCTGGCGCTTTGTTTGCCTTTTGGTAGTTTCTAGGTACCACAGAAAGGCTTGCTCAAACAGAAAAGGAAGGAATTTCCCAAGGGAGGAGGTGAAACGTTGAAATCAGGTTCGTTGCAAATGGATAAAACATGCTAGAGACTCATTCCAGTGTTCCTCCATCCAGGGTTGTTAATGTAAGGCCCTCCTTGCTTTTACTGCTCAAGCATCAATGCAGAGAGGTATGAGGGAGACTCTGAAAAAATGCCTTCTCATTGAATGATCTCAAGCCAAAATAACTACAATAAATAACTAAAATATGTATATGCCTTCAACTTAATGGAGATTTCATGAGGAGTACTGATCTGGTTGCAGACTGGTCTTTCTCATCGTGACTAAGGTAAATGTGGCTGTGAACGGTGTTTGCCTTAGTTAGTTACTATGCTTGGACCATCTGCTTTATAATGGAATTACCTCACATAAATTAAACAGTCCTAAATAATTCAAACTCTATTCCTGTGAAAAAAAGGCCACAGAGAAAGAATGGAGGCCAGGTACATCTCTGTGCTAGCTCTGCTCTGAACATAAGCTTTTATACTCAAAACAAGCCTGCACTGTTAGATGTTGTCCTGATAACTCCAGAAAGTTCTATGTTTTTGACCCAGAGTGAATTATTCTCCTATCCTGAGAAGTCACAGCTTAGACACATTAACATTAGCATGCCGATTTGGGAAGCTTTATTATTTTCTATAAAGCAAAACCTCTTCCTGATTTCATTGCGCGACTTAAGTATAGGTACCACTTTTCCTTGAAAAAACACCCCAATTACAACTCAAAAGCAAGTAGCCTTTCTGGATGCAGGTTACCCACTTTGTCAGAGCACTTCTTCGCTGACGTTCTTTCTCGTTTTGCAGGTACTGGGTTTGCTGTTCAATGGTCTTTTCCCAGAAGTTCCTCAGGTCGCTGGTTTCGCATCCCCGCACTTCGTGACGCAGGTACTGGCTGTTCATTTTCTCTGAAGGGAGAAGTTTGAAACAACCATGTGACAAAGTTACTGGGTTCCTCATCCATTTTCATGGCTATAGCACACGCTGGATGTTTCGGATTTTCACAGCATTAGGGTCACACAGTCCTTGTTTTAGTAGGATCAGGATAAGAGTGGGAATGACTCACTATTTAAGCTTTTCCTTCCTAGCTCTGACACACGAGGGTGTGCTGTCTACAGTGATCTGGATTCCTGCTCTTTCACCTAAAATGTCTCTCACTTCCATCTGAATGTGACCTTTAAGATCACCATCAGGATGGTTCTGTTGTATTCCCTGGTTTAGTGATTAAGATACCTTTTACTGTACTTACAAATAGAAAGGGAATATAAAAAGTGGCACATCTATTGGGATTTTTAGCCTCACTGTTTTCATGTGTATAAAATGATGGAGTGACTGTTGTTCTGGTAACTTGCTGCTCATTGTTATAACACTTATCTTTATTAGGAAATGGAGAAAATTTGTATGTATTAAAATATGTGCATAATTTCATAAGATGCTGACTCACAAAAGCCTTCTTACTTACTAAATATTTTTCCCTCTTCTGCAATTTTCAAAGCAGAGCAAATTTGTTGAATATATTTATATATTTGTGACAATTGTGTACTTTTCCCTCCATTTAATGCCATCTTAAAAATAAATTTTGGAGCAAATCTTATCCTAGGGAAAGAATATCTGTCTCAGGATGACTTTTCATGGGCTAATAGTCAATTCCCTCTATCCCACATTGCAGTCAGAAAATCATTTCATTACTTTCAAAACTTCATTAAATATGGAATTAGTATATCCATGCTGCCTTTCAAATTGCTGTGTGGTTTTGCACAAACGTGCCATTATGATATTTTCCAGAACATTTAATTTTTTTAACAAGTATTTAGGGCTCTCTCACGCATTGTTTGAATTCATGGCAATTATTTGTAATTTATGTTAATCAGAGCCATAGGGAGACAGTAAACAAGCCCCTCAAGGCTAGCTTGGAAAAGCCTGAAGAAACTGCAGCCATTCCCCTGCCAGGCATCATAACAAAATAGAAAAGTGGGAACTGATAATCTTCAAACAGTTTCAGTTGTCTGTTTTGTGAAAAATTGAGAGACACATAAAGACTCTGTGAGCAGAGGACAAAACCAGCCCTTTTGAAGAGGGCCCTTTCTTGCTGGGATTTCCCTGTGACTTCACTGTGGTTCCCTGTAAAACCTCCATAAAAAAACTCGTGGCCTCCAAATGGTACAAGCACAGCACTTGAGCCTGACTTTTGCAGAAAAACTTTACTTCAGGTCCTGAACAAATTACAGCTGGATGTGTAAGTGCTGGCATCAGTCTGGAATGTGAATTGCAAGCACACCTCCAGCTGTGCTATGGGATAACCAATTCCAGGTCAAAAAGTTTGCTTAATATGAGTATGGGTGTTCATAATCCATATGTATTCTATAAATATCCACACATATATCCATACCAACCCAAACATTCCTTCCCAGGTGGCAGTTACTACCCTTTCAAACCTTTTGTGTCCCAGAAATAATCTACAAATGTATGAAAAAGATGTGGTAACAGCCATCTGGGTAAGACTAATGGACTTTCCACTGTAGGAGTTAATCTCTGGGGATAACTCTTTCTGGAGAGCAGGAAGCAAAATTCCCACACATCCCTGGGGCTCTGAAATAAATTGCCAGGAAATAATGTCTCCTGGTTTCTTTATCAGAAGAGATACCAAAGCTTCATCCTTCTGAATTATTATGAGTTCTTGTTTAATATACTGTGGATGTATCTTTTCTCTCTCTCTCTGTATATATGTACAAGGGTAAATGTTACTCCTGAATAAGGCAAAGTTATGGAACTCATTGCTAAAAGGTATAATTGAGCCCACTCATACACTTTCAGAATACACATATCTTTTACTGGTTTTAAATGCTCTGCCTCATGGTTTGATTGTATTATGTATATATTCTTGATGCTGGCTTGAATGTGTTTTATAGATGTGGCCTGCCCCTACAGCAAAAAATCCCAAGGAAACATTTTAAGGCCAATAAAAGAGACATTCATAGTTTCTGTTGCCATTCACCTCACATAGTATTTAGGTGGGTTTTGTTTTGCTTTGTTTTTGGTGCGAGGGGTATGGGAAAGGAATGAGTGCTTTTCTCGGTCTATTGTCTGTGATGTTTTCTTTGTGTGTGCTTGATCAGGCACAGTAAGAGCACTTTCCAAGCCATCCTTCTTTTGTGACCTTCTGTGTTGTGTTCACATACGGATGCCTTGGTGCTGAATTTTCTCTTCCTCAGGTCCAAATATTCCTCTTTGTTTTCATTCCCCCTAATGCTGGAGAACACTCAAATGTGGGCAGATATGTATAAAAGTTACTCAAGGTAGAGTTTCTGCATCGTTAGATCCCTTTACTTCCTGGATAAACACCAGTGTGTAAATGTTCCAGCATTTTCTCCTCTGAGCTGTAGAATCACCCTACCCCGAATTACTTTGTGTTTCAAACTGTCTCTTTGAGCCTGTTCACATGGTGATTGCAGGAACTGCACGAAGACCCCATTGGAGTAACTCACCTGGTTTCTTTTGCAGTTATGCATTACATACATAGATGTCTGAATTCCCCTCTGCCCTGCCACCCCTTTCAAAACTGTTACCATAAACCTGTGTGTGAGCCATCAGGGATATCAAACCTGGTCTATCAGTGTTTCACTAGCTCTCAGTGACAGAAATTCTTTATGTTCCCCCCTACTTCAGCTTTCTTCAGAGGAGAGCTACGGGACTTACCCTGTATTGTGGCTTTGCAGCAGCAGTTGTCACCTGGAAACAATTTATTTTCATGCTTTGGAGCCTCATTCAAAGTAGTTAAGATAAGGGACCTCATGTAATAGGGAAAGAGAAGAATGGAAAGACTTCATGGGAAGCAGCCTCTAAGTCAGCCTGAACAAATAAACTCTATGTCTGATACAACAGGTGGGCAGAAATACACTGTGAAAGCACACAGGCAGTTGTGATGCACTTTTATAAATCTTGCAGTTAGTTCTGACTTCAACCATCCTGCCTCAGCCAGGACTAAATGAGGCTTTATTTAAGCCTCTGGTGACAATCCTTCCAGAGGACAATAACGAGAGGTTCTTTCTGGTAATCTTCTCTGACAGAGCCCTGGTTGCAAGCCAGTGAACAAATGTAGCTGCTCTCAAACAAAAGGAAAACATGATAAACTCTGGGAAGGTTTTATCATGATGAAGATGATGGGTTGTTTTTTTTTTTATTTAGTAATTTTCAATGGGGGTGATATTATTTGGGCTCAGTTTGCTAAAATCTTACAAAGTTAGGGAAGCTGTGATACTATCACTATTAGCTGGAACTCAAAAGTTATGCTGGTAGAACAAAAGAGGAATGAATATAAGATCAGTTTGATCCGACATCTTGACTTTTTTGTAAGAAAAAAAAAAATCAGTAGTTTGAGGCTGAAACCTCAAACTAATAAGAAACCATTACCACCACCAGAAACACACTTTTTCATGGAGATAATTGGGAGTCCAAAGTTTCTTAGCTAGAAAATGGTGTGTAAAGAAAAGTGTGCATTTTCTTCCTGACTTTTCATGGACTTGCTTTGTGACTTGCTTATTATATAAATCAACTGGATGAATAAAAAATTACATGATACATAATATCTACACTAATGATAATATTTCCTGTTAAAACAACAGAAATCTGCTTTGATTTTAGAAAACAGTACTAGTGATCACAGCCATGATTTCCCTCCTTTGCCTTGGGTCTTGGATATGTCATTCATCTTGTGCTTCTGCAGTTGGCAGCAATTCACATCTCAGAGGGCTGGCTGAAGTTTCCTTGAGATCCCCCCTGGGGAAGCATACCATTTCCAAGTCTAACTTAGGTCTCCAGACTCTGGGTAAAACTCTTGGGAGGCAGAAGGAAGTACTTTGGGGTTTAATTCCCTGCACCCTTCAGTCAGTGGGGCAGGTTGCACAGTGCAGTTCACCCCGGGAATGGCCTGAGCCTCAGAGCTGCCCGTGAGCAGGGGGGACAGAGGTTCCTCACAGCTTGCTCTGACTGCCCCAGGGATGAGCAGTTACAGCAGGAGCTGACCCAGAGCACCAGCCTGAGGATGGGGGAAGGCTGGTGTGGTCTTCTGCTGCACAAAAGTCCCTAACACTGTGCTGGTCTCTTTGTAAAATTAATTAGTGTATTTTACCAGCAAAGAGGTGTGACTTTGCATGTATTCTGTACTGTTCTACTTACTTTTGCAGTTTGGCATTACAGACTATCAATCAATGCTTTTCCTTTGTAAAAAACAGCATTGCCTTGAGTTTGCAATGAAGTGAAGATATTCCAGGCAAGTGATTTATTCTGCCAGCAGTATTTCCTAGCGTGGCAGAATTTTAAGTACATGCTCTTACCAGGATGAGTGATCAGTCAGTTCTCTGCATGTAAACTTCAGTCAATTAAATTGGACTTTTCCTTGTAGTGGGATTTTTCAGTGTATGGAAATGACAACCTTGCTGACATGTGACTGAGTAATACTAGTAGGAGTTACAGGTGTGTGTCTATAGCAAATCAATTCTAACAGGCAAGTTTAACAGTTTTAATAAGTAAGCTGAAATGTTTGCACTCAAGCACTACATAGAAGTCTCTATTCAACCATTCTCTTGTCCCTAATTCCCACAGTCCATTGTTGCTTTTCTGTGGAAAGCTGAGGAGTCTGAGTCTATTTTTCTGATATGGAGAATAACTATTCTTCAAATGCTTTGCACTGTAACAAAATTTGGACCTCTACTGTACCTTTGTGACAAAGAATTTTATTAAGGCAAGGCTTGTGGTAGCTGTGTGGTTCTTGCATCTCATACTGCTACACGCTGCTCTCCACCTCCCATGCCAGTCCTCCAGCCTAACCTGAATGATTCAGACCTCTCCTTTCTGTCTGGTTTCCCCAGCTCTGTTGTTCCATTTGGAAAATCTCTCTCCAGTTC